GTCTGTTCAGCCTGGGAGCACAGTGGGAAGCAGGGGAACAAAACAAATGGATGCTTAGTGGATTTGATCTGGCACACAATCCCATTCCCATGACAACAGCACTCTAAACTGCGCTCCTCATGCCCAAATGGCAAAAGTTATAACAGACATGTACTATGAATGTCCTTGTATAAATGTAGACAGTAAATGTATGGTTTATAGTCGGTAACTGTCATTGTCTAACTCATGCTCACTCATGTGTGTCTACCTCAATTCCTTTGTGCCAGAAAAAGATGATAAAGAAAAAGAGATGATGGAGGTTAAACACAGACCTCGGCAGAGGACAGTGTGTCACTGGCATCCCAAATAACTTGGAATAAACAGGAAATTAAACTTTAAAAATAAAAGTAAACGATGTGCAGAGAATCATGCATAAGACTGATGAGAATACAGGCAAGTATGAATTAAGGATACACCAAAAAAGCAGGTTTGAAGAAGTGATTAAGACGCTGAGTCTGCCTGCCTGGTCTCGCTGGGTTGGTGACTCGAAAACATGGCAAGTGATTTAAAGCCTAAATATAAAAGCATAATCTGGCCCTGGTGACGGATTCGCAAGATCAATGGGAGTCCAGCAAAAGATAGCAGCTAAACGCGGATACCTGCCAAACATAGTGGTCTGAGATGAATAAAGAATCTCCTGAACTACACAAACTTAAAGGGAGACGATCTTTTACTATCTACTTGTTTTGATTGCAAATATTATTCACATGAAAATCATCTTTGTGCATCAGATCCAGACATTTATCATGATGAATTATCAAAATGAAAGGACTAGTCTTGGAAAGCAGGAAAGATGTTTTAAAACAGATCCAATCGAATGGGTGTTGGACTGAGGTAACATTCTGGATTAAGATCTCTGTAACAAGGTTTCTTGTCAGGAGATAACGGATAAACTAGTTGAACATATGGAGGATTATTTGGACTGTTCTGATAACAATCAAGCTGTCAGCAGGCCAAATCTTGTGACAGCCAGAGGACTCTCTTCATGAGGTCTCGAGCTATAAACGGGCTTAATCCAGTCATTTTTCCTCCAGCTCCGTTGTCTTGTTTTTGTTTTTCGCGTGTCTTACCTTCCTTAGAGTAGTACAGGATCTCCACTTTGCGCTCCTCAGACCCAAGCAGGGCCTGTCCCAGCTGGGCCAGGGAACTCTTCATTGTGCCAGGACCCACCAAGAACTGGCAGGTACAGGGCTGCTGCATGATCTCTGCTCTGGTAAAACCAAACATCTGGCAGAAGCCTTCATTGCAGTAGATGATGCCACAGTTCTTCATCTGGGCATTGGCAATAATAAACTTGCGATCTGAAGGGAGGAACACAGTGTCAGTTGACAATTTATAAAGGCAAGATATCCATGTGGCAGTACAACGACCGCCCATTAAAGCTGGGTTAGAAGCAACACTGATAAAGCCAATTTCTTGCTTATAAATATTAATAAACTTTCTGCTAATTAAAGGAGAAATAATATACTGCACAGAGGTTTATAAATTAAGCTTAGCCATGACTATCTCACCAACTAAATTAGCCTTTTACTTTGCAGAGGGTAATGACGCCTGATTCCAGTGATTGCACGTATGCCTGTCACTGAAAGATTTAAAGAAATAGTTTGTTAATGCTGACAATTAAACTGTTTACACTGTTTAAGATTTAATTTGATTTAAAGATGCTGAAGTGCTGACTGTTGTGGATACGCATTGACTTCACAGCCCACAAAGTCTGTTCTTCCTCATCTAGGCATGACAATCAGCTGAAGTGGAACTAATGAAGTCTACTTTTCCATGGTGCTAATGTTATTAGCGTCACAATTCCTCCCAAGGGATTGAAAAGGAGCAGGTGGGCACTTCAGCATAAGGGTATTTGGAGTATAGCACATGGCGCCAGGTAACTTATGGGAATCTACAAGTTTTGGAGCCTGTGTATCTGACATTTTTTAATTACATCATTACATTGGTATCAGCCACTTGCCTATGAATATATTTTATTTGCTTAGCAAGGCTACCTAAACAGTAAAAATATTACATTTCCAGATTTACATTGTTTATCAAATAGTTTTCATATCTTAACAGTGGTAAACAATATTAAAAGTACAATCACTGTACAGTTGATATTTTTGCCACCAGCTTTGATTTGTATTAAAAATGTTGCCAGTCTGTCTTTTAAGAAGGTCAGTACTTGTGAATGTAACACCTAGCCTACATTTGACATAGTTTTGTTCATGAAAACACAACATTAAGATCATTTACATTGAAATTTCATAATAAGATAAACATGTGACAGTGCGACAAAATAATCAAATAAAATAATGCCATTAAAGTTGAGATAAAATCTCTCACTGCATGGTAGCTGCTGGACTTCTCATCAGCTAATGACACTCACTGGGGCGTTGACCACCACCATCAGTGCTCTTTCATCATGGGGGAAACACTGTGGCTGTACAGTGTCAGTTACAACAATAATGGTTCTTCCTGGTCAGTCAGAGCTTTGATTCTGAGTCTCTCAGAGTCACCCTGCTTTCAGAAACATCCCCAACAGTAACTCCAAGCTCATATGTCCTTCAGTGCCTAGTACTGATGAAATGAATGATACTGTTCGTGGCAACGGAAACACCCACTGTCCCGAAAATGCTGCATGACAGGGAATTGGGGCAGTTTTGTTCGAAGGCTGCTAATGGAGGAGTTGAACGATCTGAATGAAAAGTACATACATAACCTCTGTCGCCTCTCATTGGCCTTTTTATTTCTGGTGAAACTGGGTTAAACAGCTGTTTCCTGCCCACACAGATGAGAGCAGGGGACTCTTCTCTTGGCCCCTCTTTTTAATATAAATGGGTGAGCTCTTAGAGTGGAAAAGCACATTCTGTCCAAAGTCATTATCTGGGGCTCAAAGCAAAAACACTGATCGTCACACCGTTGCTAAGCAGCACCACTGTGGCACGTGCACTCACCTTATCGTGCACGTGTATGTGACTGCGCGTGCACACACACATACACCTTTTTGGGATACAGTAGAGCCATTACATAATACGGGTTTCTTAGGGGATATTGGAGAGATTCAAGCATTACTGGTCCTAGAGCTGATTATACTAACACAAACTGAGAGTTGTCAGCAATCAACTATTTCTCCATGTATGGTCAGTATCTAATCAGGATGGCAGGGTTATTTTCAGTCCTGTGTCAACACGCTGCTAGTGGCGAGGAAATGTACTGATTATTGCACATGAGATATAATGTGGCATGGTGTCTTTCAGTGTTTTTGTTTTTAAACTAAAGTAGCATTAACAAAGATTTACAGGCTCATGTAATAAGTGTTAAGTACTGAAAATGGATGAAGGGAAAACTGGATACAAATAATGGTCAAAAGAAGACAGCAACATATGTGTTCTATCAGAGGCCTTAGTGGTTTCAGGGAAAGGGATTTTTTTCCTCTCCAATAAGTGAGAGGTGGTCTCTTCTTCCAGCCAATGGAACATGTGAGCTAATGGAACACAATGTAAGTCATAAGGTGAGCTCTCACAAACAAACTCACATGCAGGTGCACTAACCCCGCAAACATAAAAGCAGCAGCTGGGTTCTGTCAGCATTACTGATACAGATAAGATAAGATGTGTTAATTTATTATAATATAAAAAGCCTGTCCTTCTACCATCTGTTCAAGCAATGAGACTGACCGACAAACAAACACAGACGTGTGAAAAATAAAGCAAACAAAACTATACCAACAAGATTTAACTGGATACACTAACAGCTCTGAAATAAATACAGGCTACCACTCCTACTGATGAACTAGCTGTCAGAAACACTTTTCCCATAGACAAGGAGCACAGTTATCCCTTTTAAAATAGAGGATGTAATTAATTCACCGTAAATTAGAGTTCCCCGTCTCTGCCATCTCTTTTGGATTTATTTAAAGCATTTGCGAGCTAAACCATCGCAGCAAAAAACAGCTCAAATGTTTAAAATGGGAAAACTAAATATGTATTTTGTAAAATGTTTGGAATTTAAATATCACAGCCTTTGTTCGGACCTCAACAGCAGCACAGATGCATAACTGAAACTAATTTCATGTGCACTTACTTTGCTCGTCGAATTTCCTGATGATAGTATCCAAGTAAGTGTTCTGGAGCGCAACATGACCGCGTCTCACGGGCATTTTGATGCTGAGAGAAAACACTTCCGACACATGAACCTTAGATAAGTAAAAAAGCAAAGAGATTTGAACTGACGCCAGTGAACAAAAGGGTCCGCTTCCACTTGGAGGGCGAGCGTAAGCAGTAGATTTTGGCTTCCCTCGGAGCCTGCCGCTGATGGTGAGGGGTGAAGCGCCGGAGAATGATGGAGAGGAGGGCTGGTTGCCAGGGCAATAGCAGATGCAGGATGTTGCACGCTGATAACGTGGGGGTAAAAAGTAGACTAGGATACAACAAAAAATGTATGAAAGCGATTCGAAAGTCTTTTCCTTAGTGAGGTTACCTGTTGCGGGACAGGTTGTGAACAAAAGCTGCAGAGCGCAGAATCGGTTCGTTGCTTTATAACCGCTGCATTCTCCCTCAAGTTTTGGACAATGCGCGATAAGGATGGCAGTGAAGAAGCTCCCATTAGCCCGATCCCAACCCACTCCCCTTGCACCACCCCCTGTCGCCCATCAGCAGCGTGAAGGCAGAAGACAGCGGAAGCATCAGTTATGTATATATAAGTATTTAAGTCTCTCTACATATATATTAGATATATCTTAGAAGACATACGGTATGGAATTTTAAATCAGGGAAGAGATCCAATAACATTACTCATTAGCATCACTGATGGCTTGTACTGTCAGTCAGGTTAGAAGATATTTGTGATGAAAAACTATGAAGAATTTGGTTATTCATAATCCTGGTTTTGTAATCATATTAATTATTTCTTCTACATTTCTGGCACCTTATTCCTTAGGCGCTACATATCTTTTATCTAATAGCTGTTTGTACTTTGTTTCTCATTGAAGTAATGTTTTATTTTGAAATGCATATACTGACATTATCTATTTATGGCATTGTGGATAGCTCGACAGTGATTTGACAATGATAGAGTGCAGACCCACAGGAGTCTATTCTGCTTCACCCTACATCTGAAGACTGTGCTGAAAATAGCAGCGTCCTCTTACTCTGTGGCTGCCATTGCACCTCTGAAGTATTATATTAAACTAGTGATAGTAATCTTAAAAGTGCACTCATTTGTTTGTGTTTACATGTGCCTCTGTGAGAGGTTTTTATCCCTTTTTAAATTGTTCAGAAAGCACATTTTAAGTTTGTAGGTGAAAGTAATTCAGGACTTCTGTGGGAGAAATGAATTATACACTGCACCGGTTTGGCACGCAAGTGCCACTGCAGAAAAAATGTAACTGTCAAAACTAAAAAAGGAAAAAAGGGATTCAAAACATGGTTGTAAACTGAGAAGATAGATTACTTTGTGTTTAACAAGCCTGAGACTGTGAGACTGGAAACTTTCAGTCTGGATTTTATTGTGCCACAGCCAGACGTGAGGATGCAGACTCAAACAGTGTGACTCGATCTGAGTTGCAAAAATGAAAAATTCAAGTTTGACTAAATCAAAAGCTAGATGGGGTTTAGCTTTCGAGTTCTTGCCTGGGCTTTAGTCTTATAACTCAAAGGCCTCAATCCTATCCTTAACTTCAAATTGGAGCAGCAAGGACACGATTACCTGGCACTGGCAGTGTCTTCCGAGACAGAGCAGACATCCTGGCCAGACTTTCTATTGTGTACCTAGTTAAAGGTCACCTGCAGGCTGCAGCTGCCTTTTTCAAACTCACACACTGTGCACATTCTGTTTGGAAAAAACCACAAAAGAGTTTTACAGACAAAGCAGGCTGAACCGAGCTGAGTTATATTTAATGGCCCTTTTTCTTTTTATTGCAAATTTTTCTGTGTTTTGTCCACCACCAGTAAAAATACGGTCACTTACAATATCTCTAAATGGTTTTTGAACCTTCAGAGTCTATGTAAATATGTTATTCTAATCTTCGCCATGAAAAAACTCAAACAATGTGACAGAAACCCACCAGGAAGCCACTCATGACCCTTTGAGCTGCCGGCAGACAAATGTGTTTAAGAAGTCATCCTTCCACTTTGTCCAAAGACACGTGTTCACTGAAACCTAGACAGAAAAAGGTGTTAGGAGATCAGACGGTTCACCTTTCACTAGACGGGTTGAGGTAGTGGCTCTGTGTTTCGTCTCAACGGCCTTGATGAAATGAGGGCTAAAATTAACCAAGGAGCAGACATGCCTCCCCATGACCCTGTGGTGTGAGAGCCACCAAAGGGCTCTCACACAGGAATGTGCACTAAAGAGGGCAATGAAAGACAAAGAGCTTTGACTGGAACTCTAGGCTATGCATGTGAATTTGCCCTGATTCGCCATCACCCTGATTATTTCCTCTATGAGAAGTTAATGAACATGTATTATCACCACTCCAGTGTGATTTGATTGTCTTATTTTTGTCTTAAAAAACAAACGAAAAAAAACCCCCCAATTAGGAATATGTAAAATTAGGTGAAATATTTTTGTTTAGTTTTGCATCTAGGTGCTTGTGTAATATCTAACTTTCCTGAATATCTTCTGGAACATCCAAGTATAATTTTTTAAATGTATTTGCATAGTAATTTGATTTGTTGTTTGAGCTTTAAATGTCTAGATAATACCAGCTGGTATGCCAGTGATACAAAAGTGGGTTAAGTTACAAATTAACAGACATGTGGGACAGGAGTGTAAAGTAAGGCACCATCTGCCTCCTCTAGTAAAGATGCCCTTTACTTAGTGTTTGTGGGCGGGATCAGACAAGCCTTTGAACTCAACCTTCATTTTGATCTCAGATACACACTTTAAAATTTTCATGACAGTATCTCCCGTGGCCGTAATTCTATCATTTTGACTCACCTGTTGTTGGG